ATCTTTTAACCGCCCGCGTCGCGTAGATGATTCTCCTCCCGTCCTTCCACGTCAACTTTATTTCCTCCTGTTGGGAAACCAGTTGGAGGATATGAATTCTTCAGACTCACTCCTACAGAGAAACTCCAGGCACACAGACACGTTTTGATAATTGCAGCCAAGTTGAACCCTTCATGCAGTAAGTATATATATCATATAAGCTCACTAGCTTTTACACTTTATATTTGTTTCTTACTGACTCTTCTAACAAATTACACTTTACTATAGTGAGTTTAGGAGTTATCTCAGGCGTCAGCTACGGGGCCGTGCGCGTTCTGCTGACATTGATAAAAGAGTCCACAAAGAGTTTCCCAGTTGGTTTACACGTCGAATACGTAATGACAACAGCCCATACACAGATGAATTCAGAGCTCTTTCTCTCGGTCCGTTAGACCATGCACGAAGGTTTACCGCGTACAATGTCAACGGCTTCAAGTTCTGTACGGTTGCACGTGATCAGGGATTGCTCACACAAAACTCTGGAGTTTGCGGGACATTCGGAACGAGATGTTATGCTAGCAGTAGTGATGGCGATATGCGCTTTGGAGGCGTCACTTACTATGGAAAGCTAATTGACATTATTGAGTTGACTTACCAGCTTTTCACCGTGACACTGTTCAAATGCTCCTGGGCAAATACGACAACTTCACGGGGACTCGCTACTGACCATTTGGGCATCACCTCAGTCAATTTCTCAAGACTTATTCATACGGGGGCATCTGAAGATGATGAGCCATATATCCTTGCTTCTGAGGCACACCAAATTTACTATGTCGAGGACGAGAAACATAAAGACTGGAATATGGTCGTTCACCTCAAGCCACGGGATCTTTACGATATGGGTGATGGTGACATTATTTACGACAGTGAACCCTCCAACCCTCGAATTTTGAAGACTTCTTTCTCAGGAGATGATAATTTGCCACTTATCAGGTACACGTCTTTTCTTAAATTATTTAAATAATTAACTACTAATTACTAATTTTTCCAAATACAACATAAATTTAACAAATTTTTTAAAATATGTCCTTTCAGGCCGGATGATGATGGAGAGTAGCAGCATCCAAAATAAATTATTTAACAAATTTTTCGTCCATAAATACATATGTATAAATTAAAATTCGTAAAATTTTTTTAAAAAATAAAAAAATTTCATTTGTAGCGGTTCATAACCGCTACAAATTTTTTCACGAAATTGTAATTTGTAGCGGTTATTAACCGCTACAATTACAATTTCACAAAATTGTAATTTGTAGCGGTTAATAACCGCTACAAATTACAATTTCGTGAAAAAATTTGTAGCGGTTATGAAACGCTACAAAATACATACCTGTAAATTAAAATTCGTTCAGATTTTAAAATAAAAAATACTAAATTTCTAGCGGTTAATAACCGCTACATATGTAACGCTACTAATTACTAGCGCTTTATATACGCTAGAAAATGAATAACAGCTACAAAAGTTATAAAACGCTACAAAAACACCGCTACAAATGTGTCGCTGATCTCTATAAATACCATATCTTCTCTACATTTATTTACTCCATCTCTTTTCCTTCCTCTCCTATTCTTCTTCATAATTCTCTCTTTTTTTCTTACTATCTCATATTGTGGTTTTTTTCTCTTTACTCTATGGTAAGTGAATTTTATTTTATAATTCATTGTATCTTTTATTTGTTTTATTTAAAATTTACTAACATATTTATTTCTCCTTTCCTTTCAGATTTTTCTTCTCCACATTTGTCATGCCCTCCTCAACTGATTCAAATACTCATCAACTTAATACTATAGGTTCAATATTCCAAAATATATCATCTTCAATTCAACTATCTTATTAAATATTCAATTAATTATCTTATTAGATTAAATTCACTTCTTTTAACACATTCATAATGTAATTACATATTTTTATTACAAAATTTGAATATATAAAATGTAACATATAACTAATTATACAAATTAACAAAAATTCTTCAAAATAATTTATTTAATGGTTTTTAAAATTATAATATGAAAAACCATAAATTTTTTTTTCTGGCACGGTAAACATTTCTAGCGGTTCAGAACCGCTAGAAATATTTCGTCAATTTAAATTTCGCGCCAAACTTTCTAGCGGTTAAAACCGCTAGAAAAGTTTTCCCGCCATTCTAAAAATTCAATTGGTGTGAAAATTTAATTTCCCAAACATTTCTAGCGGTTCTATAACCGCTAGTAATTTTCGCGCGCTACTGAAATTATTTAATTCCCGTTTAGCAGGTTTCTAGCGGTTATAAAACCGCTAGAAATTTTTTCCGGGGAAAAGTTTCTAGCGGTTTTATAACCGCTAGGAATGTGTCTCCTTCAGATATTTTCTAGCGGTTCGGAACCGCTAGAAATTTTCTATCGTTTGACCATGATGTGTAGCGGTTGCGATAACCGCTAGAAATTTTTTCTAACACCTGTTTTTCTAGCGGTTTCCTTAACCGCTACAAATGTTATTTGTTGCGGTTAAAACCGCTAGAAATGTAACACCATAACCGCTAGAATTAACATATTTTTTTGTAGTGAAAGGTATTATTATACTCACAACATGTTGTGGCTAAGTAGGAATCTAGCTTTACATGAAGGAAAAATCAAGCAGCCAACTTCAATTTTACAAGAAATAAAGGGTTTCATCGCTTTTTCAGACATTGCTTGTTCATGGGAATGCTCTCACAGGGATGTTGATATCCATAATCAAAGTATTACTAAAGCAGTAGTCTCGAGTATCAAAATGGTGGACAATTATTCTCTAAAAAAATAAAAAGCAAGAATAGGGACTTGCATTGCAATATTACAGTCTCCTTACATAGAGGGATATAGCATCAATTCCTCCTCTAGAAAGAGAGACACTAGTAGGACTTGTGTTCTGTAGCCAGTGTCTCAGAGCAATTCTTCTTTGGATAAATAGTTATGCACGTATCATCTGTTGGAGTTAAAGTGTTATAGTAATATGTTTACTTATTTATTGGAACAATGTGTGTGTGTTTTTTTGCTTATGGTGCAACTTGTTTGATTAGCTTACAAGTCAAATCTTCTATTGCACATTATTATTGCAGTTAATATCATCTTTAATCCATGAAATTCAGCTTAATCATTTTAATTTGGTTTCTGAAATTTGAAAACTAATGGTTTTGGTCTTTAAAACATTGTCTATTTTAAGAACAAAAAATCTTTAGGCAAACCAAAATGAAATCAAATTTTAGAAACTAAAACTACTGATTTCAAATTTTAGAAATCAAAATCAAAATGAGATCAAATTTTAGGGACTAAAGATAATATTAACCATTATTATGTTAGCAAAAACCTACGTCCAAAAGTTGTAATCAATCTAATACGATAAAGTATTAAAGAAAATCGGGATATTTGATGGCAAAAAGAATAAAAATCGGATACTTTGATTTTCTGTCTCAATGCAAATTGAGGATGGTTGTGGGAAATAAAATATTACTACAATAAAAGTAGAATATGCTTTTCCCCAAAAAAAAAAAAAGGATAGGCAGATTTATTTTTATTAAAGAATACATATAGAGACCTCTTTTAAAAATTATACTATCTCCAGTTCTAATTATAAGAGCTAGTTGACTAATTTGAGGAAATTAAGGAAAGAAGCTAAGTTAGTTATTTATAATAAATAGGTGTTGTCTTTTCTAAAATATCCTTGCTAATCAAGTGTATTAGTTAGAACTACCATTATTAGAAGAACTACATTGGGAAAAAATATATAAATATGAGAGACAAAGTAGATTAGGGTCTTATATTTAGGACCAAAATAAAAATCAAATAAGGTCTTATATTAAGGACTGGAGGTAGTATTACTCGAACATCTCTTCTATTATTAAAATTATCTTTCCTGCGTAGGGATTTTTAAAGTGGCTGTTTCGTGATAGCAAAAGATTCTGAGAAGGAAGGACTTTCCATAAATATTCCAAGGAAAGAAGTAGCTATATATAGGAGGAAATGCAATGATCCAATGGGAAATTTCTAATTTTGAAGAAAAATATTTAAAATAAGTTGAAGAGCATGATGGTCTTTTTGAAAAAATAATTCGATTTTTGTATGATTTGACTGTTAATTAACTATCTATTGGTCTTCAAAACAATAACTCTAGATACTTTATAGTCATCAATATTGGTTCACAGAGGTCTTTTTAGTGAAATTTTACCTAAAATAAATGCTATCATTCCATCTATTAGCTTATTAAATGACTCTCGCAAGACAGGTATACGGCTAATTATATTCATTGTGGTGCGGAGAATCCATCAATGGACATATTTAATAATATCTTTGTCAAATACCTGTCTTCTATTTAAGATTCAAGAAACAAGACATTATCCCCATTGGAATTTGGATTTTTCAGGTTTAATTTGAACAGTATGAATTTAACTTTTTAATTTATTTTTAAAAAATTATTTTAATGCATACAAAATCTAAAATAATATAGATAATGTAATCTTATTAATAAATTGTTAGTTGAGATGGTAGACAGTCTCACTCCCATAAAAAGAAGAACAAAGTTTAAATCCTCATAAACACATTTGTTGAGACGACTTTAATCTTAGGGGGTGTTTGGAAGCACTTTTCCACAGAACAAGGCAAATTCCTCCATATATTTACTCCATACACCGTAAAAGCACCTTTAAAACCATGGTTTTAATCCATCTAATTAATTAGTCCCCAGGTTATTAGCACCAAAACTTTCTCCTCAAGGAAAATGCTCATCAATGCTATATATATGTGTAAGTCACCAAAGCGACCATCTCATTGTTTCCCCCCAAAAATTTTCCAAAAGATCCCGTCTTAATATGTACTGCACGCAACTTCGCTCTTGATCACATGTGGACTAAAAAACCATTACTAATATTGTTGATATTACACGAAAACTTCTTCTTCTTCTTTTTTTAATAGGAGGACAAATAATAGCGATGTATAAATAGTGATGATAGAGTAATGAATTGTTTGGGTGGGGCAATAATAAAGAGAAGCACGACAAAGAAAAATGAGGCCAGAAGTAGTGGAAGTAATCTCTGCACAAATCGTGAAACCTTCGTCTCCTACACCTCAACATCTTCGTCGCTATAATCTCTCCTTCCTCGACCAGATCACTCCCCAAGTCAACAATTCTATGGTCTACTTCTTCGATGCTGCTGCACAAAAATTCGACATCATCGACATCTCCGACCGCCTCAAGAGATCGCTATCTCAAGTCTTAACTCAGTATTACCCACTCGCAGGAAGACTCATGGCCAAGAACTTAACCGTAGAGTGCAACGACGAGGGTGTCCCATACACAGAAGCCAGAGTCCGGTGCCGCCTCAGCCACGTCATCGACGACCCTTCTCCGGCCGACGTTGGCGAACTACTTCCGTTTAAAATGGATGAAGCCGTTGACACAGTCCTAGGTGTTCAGTTTAATGTCTTTGAATGTGGCGGAATGGCCATTGGTATATGCATCTCCCACAAGATCGCCGATGCACTGTCTTACTTCCAGTTCGTGAAGAGCTGGGCCACCGTGACACGCGGCGGCAACCCGGAACACATCACGACCCACTTCGAATCATCCGCACTCTTCCCGCCAAAACACATGCCGGGATACGACCCGGATTGTCTCGTCCCGAAGGAAAAGATCGTGTGCAACAGATTCGTATTTGAAGCATCTGCAGTAGAATCTCTGAGATCAAAATACTCGGAGAAGGTGGCGAAGAACATTCTGGAAGGCCAGAAACCACCTTCAAGAGTTGAAGTATTGTCAACTTTCATATGGACGAGGTTTCTTGAAGCCACTAAGGGGGAAGAAGAAGAAGAAGAAGGAAGCAAAAAGAAAAAGATTCAGTTGGTGGCATGGGCAGCAAATCTACGACCAAGAATGGATCCTCCATTACCAGAATATGCGTTCGGCAACTATTACTGGCCGATGAGAACGTTTCCAACGTTAGACGAGAAAGGAGAATGTCATGATATGGGAAGGAAGTTAAGAGAAGAGTTAAATAAGATGGATAAGGGTTTTATTGCGAAGCTTCGAGAATGTGAACAGTGGAATCCTCAACAGAAGAAAGAAGAGATGGTTAGATCAACTGGTGGTGGGGAAGAAGGAGAGATTGCCGCGTTTGCTTTCTCTTCATTGTGTTGGTTTCCGGTATACGAGGTTGATTTTGGTTGGGGGAATCCGACGTGGGTGGGACCGCCAACGTGGAAATTTAAGAATGTGGTTACCTTCAAAGACACTAAGTCAAGCGGTGGCATTGAAGCTTATGTTAGCCTCACGGAGGAGGACATGGCTAAATTTGAACACGATGAGCAACTTCTCGCACATGTTTCTACTGCGGGGTTAAAATGATGTTTTACTTGCTCTGGATTTATCGTATGGCTTGGTTGTTTATTTTAGGGTTTACTGTACTATAGTCAATTGTCCACTTTCATTTGTCAACTATATAATAAGTTTCTTGATGATGGAAAGTCATAATCGGCTTTACTTTGTTTGGTACTAAGGAGTCAAAAGTCTAATCTCCCAAGAAAGTGTTATAAAATGTTTACTTGTTAATTTGAATCAATAATGTAATTTTGATTAGGAACTTGTTGGTAGAATGATTAGGTTACAAGAGTTTTTTTTTTGTACTACACACAGGTATTTTCCGGTTAAAAATAATCCTATTCGAAATACTGTTGAGCACAAAATATGAACATTTTTCTTAACAAGGATTTGAACTTTAGTTCTATTCTGTTAGACCCAATCCTTGTTGGTAACTTACGAGAGTTTTTTTCTTTTTTTGGGCTAGGGTAGCTTACAAGAGTTAATAAATTTGTCAAATACTACTCAAATCAACTAAATTATTTACTATGCTCTCTAATATGATAAAGCATTTTTAAAACGGATGTTAGCTTCATCATCTAACTTCTGATACTTGCTAGCTATTCTAGTTTGATTTGAAAACACATGAATTCTTTTATTTAGAAGATAGACACTAACAACTTAAAATTAAACCAAGAGATCATTGGTAGCTTGCACGCATTGTCTAAGCTCAATTTTCTTGTTTATAAAAAGTTTTCGATTGGTTTTATTCATAAAGAAAAAATTCAAAAGTTTAACCTTATAAGCTTAAACAAAGTAATTTAAAACGTTTACCGTAACAATTAGTAAATTTTCTGTCAGCGCATAACTTCTCGTTAGATTGATTATTAGTTCACAAAAGTCAGGAGTTACTTGTGCCCCTCACGCACGCTTCGTAAGTGGCTAGCTAAGACAAGTTATAACTTGTAAATGAAGGAGATATATATGTATATGTGTGTGTGTGTGTGTGTGTGTGTATTAGATTTAATAAAATGAATGAGCAAGCCGGATTTTAATTTTATATTATACACACACAAATATGTTGTACTCTTCGTGTCATAAATGATGTAGCAACTAGTAAAGGGTGAATTTTACTACCACCTCTGGTGCTTAATACTACCTCTAGTTCTTAATATAAGAGCTAATTAACTAATTTAAGTATGTAGATTAAAAATTTATTATATTAGTTATTTATAATAAATATATGTTCTCTTTCCTAAAATATCCTTACTAATATGTGTATTAGCTAAAACTACTATTTGATGGAACGTTTAACATGTGCAACTACTGCAAGGACTACTTTGACAAAAAATAAATAAATATGAAAGACAAAATAGAATAGAGTCTTGTATTTAGGACCAAATTAAAAGTCAAACTAGCTCTTATATTAATGACTGAAGATAGTATAACGTAAGAGCTAGTTGACCAATTTGAGTAAATTAAAAAAATTAGTTAAGTTAGTTATTTGTAATAAATAAGTATTGTCTTTTCAAAAATATTATTACTAATCAAATGTATTAATTAGAATTATCATTACTACAACAACTATATTAAAAAAAAAGGGATAAATATAAGAAACGAAATAGCTTGGGATCTTATATTTAGAATCAAAACAGAAGTCAAATTAGTTTTTACATTAAGGACCAGAGATATTATTAAATGTAAGAAATTAATATATTTTATCTCTTGTATTTATTTTTTCTTTCAAACTAATTTATCAAACTCATAAATTGATATTCCCTCCGGTTTATAATATAAAAAGTTGATTATAAAAAATTTTGGTCTAAAATATAAAAGGTTGACAGGAATACAGGATAATTAATGATAGTTTTTTACTTTTAACCTTTGTTACAAGAAGGAGAGAGAATTTTAAATGTAAGAGAAATGAGAGTAAATCAAAAAGTAAAATAGGTAATTTTTATCAATTTGAAACAAATTTAATAACTTAACATTTAAAAATATCAAATCCTACCTACGCCACTTTCTAAAACGAATCCTCCCGTGGGAGCTCCAACACAGGTGACGGCTATGGCTTGATGACTTGCTGCCGCCGGGATCTTTCTGTTTGAACTTTAAAATTTCAATTTAGGTGTTGCACTTTTCTGAAATCATGTATGTGGGGGTTCCAATTCGAGCATTTCATATTTTCAAAGTTTTTTATTAGCCATTTTCCCAATTGTTAAGACCTAGAAAAATTGAGAAAAAAATATGAGACGTTATTTTGCATATTTGTAAGATTTACGAAGAGTTTTAAATCCTCAAAAGTGGTCTAAATTAAGGAGTATTCATCACCGAACTCAAAAATAGGTTTGGACTAAACATAGGCCCAAACTGCACTGCCCGTGACCAAAGAGATTAGGTTCAGATTGCCAATCGATAATGGGCCAATGGGATAGCAAAAGCAAGCTTATGAATAAGCTATTTTATGGACTAAAGGACCAAATGGATGGAGTCTAGTAAAAAAAAAAAAAAAAGGAGTTTTTCATAATTTGAAAAATTAATATTCGAATTTCTATTAAAAATTATGTTCACATTTAGTACTTAACACTCAAACAAGATTGCCTTATAAATTTTTTTTTTATTTTTAGAAGTTTTCCTTTTTAGTACTATTCCATCCCCTCTATTTTCCTTTAGTAACTTTTTTTTCTCCATCCAAAGATAGTTTAGATTTCACCTGGAGTAAGCCTTCTAGTCATCTCTCCTTCCCTTCTTTCTTCCATTTGCAGCGTTCTTGAGAATATGATAAGGTATATAAATACACACACACACATATATGCGCATTATTTGCAAGTATATTGTTGATATTCTTAAACAAGTATTAACAAGGCAAAAATCATTCTTATAGAACAATTATATCATGATACTGGCATCATCCGTTATCGTTCCAATGACATATAACCATGCATCAACAAGACGGCCGGCAGAAAATATTATGTGTGTGCTTCAATTAATTATTGGGATTGTTAATAACACCAAAAGTGTATTAACAAAAGTGATCGACCTAGACTTTATATATAAATTGAGTAATATAAACATAAAGGAATATCCTAAATAAGAGACGCCAGTAAGAAGAGCACAAAACTGTCTGTTTCGGCCAGCAGAAGAGAATTAAGAAAACAGCTAGACAGAAAAAACAAAACAGCTAGCTTATACTATAGGATTAATTCGTTAATAACTTGTTGCCAATGGATATCGATCTACCAGGATACATACCTGATCTAACTCGAATTATTTACAAATATTTCAATGATTTAAATTTTATTACCTTACACTTAATATAATAGCTAGTTGGAGATTCCGTTTTGTCCTAAATATAAGATTTCAGTCCACTTTATCTTCAATATTTATCCTAATGACAGACGATTGCATATATTAAGAAGTTTATATCAAAAGATATTTTCAATACACATAATTAGGATAAGGTATTTTAAGTAAGACAATATCTATTTTTTACAAATAACTAATTTAACTAATTTTTTAATATTTATAAATTAGTTATCTAACTCTTATATTAATCACAAAATGCAGTATTAAATTTTGTTTAATTATCATTGTCTCTTTCTCTAGTTAATATCACAATTTTTTAGTTTTAAAAATGTGGTCATCTGCGTTTAAACGCTTACCGGTCCCAAAGATGCAAGTTCTAGCGTGTCTTAATATAAATAGATACATGCACTAATGATAACCAGAAGCACTGAGAAAATGAAGATAGAAGTTGAAATAATCTCTAAGGAAATCGTAAAGCCTTGCTCTCCTACACCTCAACATCTTCGTCATTACCATCTCTCCTTCCTCGATCAGTTATGTCCGGAAGTCAACAATTCATGGGTCTATTTCTACGATACTCGCACTTCAAACCTAGGATGCATCGACGACGATGCTTCCGACCACCTCAAGAAATCATTATCTAAAGTCTTATCCGACTACTACCCACTCGCCGGAAAACTCATAGATAACAGTTTCGTAGACTGCAACGACGACGGCGTCCCTTACATAGAAACCAGAGTCAGGTGTCGCCTCAACCACGTCATCGAGAATCCCTCTCCGGCCGTCGTCAGCAAACTGCTTCCCTATGAAATGGATGAAGCCGTCGACACACTTCTCGGAGTCCAAGTCAACGCCTTCGATTGCTGCGGAATGGCCATCGGAGTAAGCATCTCCCACAAGGTTGCCGATGCGCTGTCGTATTTCCAGTTCGTCAAGAGCTGGGCCGCCGTAAGCCGTGGCGAACCAGAACAAAAAATCAGAACCCACTTCCAATCTTCCTCACTCTTCCCACCAAAAGACATGTCGGGATACAACCTTGAATTTCACATCGACAAAATCGTGTGCAGGAGGTTCAGTTTTGAAGCATCAGTGATAGAATCTCTGAGAGCAAAACATTCCGAAAAGATGAAGAACCTTCTTGATGATGAAGACAATCAAAAACCCCCTTCAAGAATAGAAGTACTGTCAACTTTCATATGGACAAGATTTCAGGAAGCCACTAAAGAAGAAGGAAGCAGGAAAATTCACTTAGTCGCATGGACAGTGGATCTCCGCCAAAGAATGGAGCCTCCATTACCAGAATATGCGTTTGGCAACTATGTGTGGTTGATTCGAACGTTTCCAACGTTAGACGAGAAAGGAGAGTGTAATGACCTTGGAATGAAGTTAAGAGAGGAACTAAATAAAATAGACCAGGATTTCATTGTGAAGCTTGGAGAAGGTGAAAATCAGTGGAAAGCTGATCAACAGAGAAGTAGCAGTGGTGATGGGGAAGAAATAGTGGCGTTTGCTTTCAGTTCGTTGTGCAGGTTTCCAGTGTACGAGGTTGATTTTGGATGGGGGAATCCGACGTGGGCAGGACCACCTACGTGGAAATTCAAGAACGCTGTTGTGTTTAAAGACGCCATATCTGGCGGTGGTATTGAAGCTTATGTGAGTCTCGCTGAGGAGGACATGACAAAATTAGAAAGTGACGAGGAATTTCGGGCACATGTTTCTACCACAGGGTTAACTTAATCGACGATCATGTTTCTGGGTATATTTGTGAGGGTCGGGTGCTTTTCTCACAATTTAACTCATTCTGTTCTTGTCCTGTCGATTGTCCATCCACTGTCCTCAGTAAACGACGAGAGTTAATTGGTTGATTGATAGCAAGTTAACGGTTTGTTTCGTAAGGATAATGTCAAAAATCTTGTCTTCTATGAAGTATTTGGAGGCATTTGAATATAGTTGTTTCAGTTTATACATGTTCA